ATCAACCCAAGTGCCCATCAGTTCATGAGTGAATTAATAAAATGTGGTATACGTATACCATGGAATACTACTGTGCCATGAAGAAAGATAAATTAAGGTCTTTTTCAACAATTTGGATGGAAGTGGAGACCACTATTCTAAGTGAAGAATCTAATAAATCAAAAAACAAACACCATATGTACTTTCTATTAAACCGAAACTAACCAAAGAGCACATATGTGCACAGAGGGAAGTAAAACTCAGTGGAAATCAAACAGGGGAGGGGTTAGGATGGAATGGGTAAAAACCTACCTAATGGGTACAATGAACACTATCTGGATAATGGACACACTTATATCCTCGACTCTTACATAACAAAATCAGGAAATGTAAGCAAAAATGTTTGTACTTTTGTAATAATTTGAAATTTAAAAAAACCTGTTGTTAAAATTCTGTCACATAAGGGAAGGTATAACACCCATGAAACAAGAACAAGATGGTATAAATAAGGAATAATTAGAGAAAAGAAAGAACTAGAAAGTTGAATATCTAACTAATGAATAATGTTTGACAGAGAAAAGTAATAGAGAAAATAGAGAGAAAATGTCATTGAATTGTTTTGGTTGAGAGTTTTCAGATTGAGATTGCTCATCAATTCGAGGAAAGAAAAAAGTGTAAAACCAGCACGTAGTATTGAAACATTTCAGAACACTGAGCTAAAGAGATAGTACTGAACGTTTGGGAAGAGAGGGAAAGAAAAGAAAATTTATCACATATAAAGACATAGGAATCATAATCATAGAAGATTTTCAAGAGTAGCATTGGAAGCTGCATGATATTGAATATTCTGAGCAATATTTTTTTAAACTTGAATCTATAACTAAAACATAATTCTAAACTGATTTCTATTAAAATTCTGGATAGAATAAAGGCATTTTAGTTTGAAATCTGCTCCAGGCTCTAGTCAAGGAGAAAGCAGTTGAGAATCACTTATGAATAGAGTGGGTAACCAAGAAAAAAACAAATATAAGATGTAGAAAACAAAGCCAGCATCGGAGTAAAGAAAGATATAAACAATTTATGGGACAGACCTAAACAACATCTACCCAGCCAGATTGGACAGGAGGCCTGAAGTTTCCAGGAAGGCTATAGTGAGGGGAAACTTAACAGCTAAAGTATAAAAAATAAATTTTATATATACTCAAGAGGCTAAAGTGGTGGATCTCCTGAGCCCAGGAGTTTGAGGCTGTGGAGAGCAACGTTTGGGCCACTGCACTTCAGCCTGGGTGACAGATCAAGACCCTGTCTTTAAAAAAATCAAATTAATTAATTAAATTAATTATATAGATATAATTATAATTATATAAATATAATTATAATTAATTATAATTAATAAAAATATAGAATAGATTTTAGAAGATTTAAAAACTTCTGTTATAGATTTCAAGAATTCATGAGAGGTTCAGAAAAACATAAGTAAAACGGGAAAAATGGATTTATTATTAATTCAAAGAACAAAAATAGCGCCAGAAAAGAAATGTAGTCATGATAACACTCAGCTCATAGTTCACAACATTTACATGGTTATAATAATTCAAACTCCAAATATCAATATAACCTATGTTTCTACAGTTAGTATACTGGAAGGATAAAAAGAAGAGAAAGTGAGATAAGAAGGTGTTGAAGGGCATATAAGTGGGCCAAATCATTAACTTTCAAAATACAAAGTCAAATAATGTATAAAATTGATATATAAGTAATTAGCAGAATAAGTACCTATTCAGAAATATGGAAATAAGTCCCAAAAGAAAAAGATAAAACAGACTTGCAGGAAAATTAAAGGTGAGAAATTTGTGCACAGGCAGGACACATGAGGTGAGAGTGTGTGTGTGTGTTGTGTGTGTGGGTTGGGGGAGGTGTGGGGCAAGATATTTCTGTATTTCATTTTAAATTTTGTGATACTTAAACATTACAAATGTTTCATATAAACTCTGTTTTCATGTGTTACTTTGATAAACATTTAAAAATAATTTGAGAAAATCTGTGTAACTTTTTTGGTTATTTAAAAAAAACAGTTAAATTTCAAATATTAGACATCTGAAATGTACTCATTAGAAATTTAATTGTGTACTTCAGTTTTAGTTTCTCTGCCTTCAGGATCTTTAGTACTTAACATATGTAAATTACTAGGATGTGTTCTTCATGAAAACATTTAGACTGTGCCACGGATTTTAGTGCCATTTTAGACTATGATACCTACGTCTAATTTTTATATTTGACACTGCCCACTTAAATGGGATGTTATTTCATGGCCATAAAATATTGCAGAACATCAAAGAGAATATATAATTCATAGGGTGTGACAAAGTAACTTTTTGAAAATTAGTTTCTACTGATCATGTCTTTGTTAGAAGGGCACATTTTTAAAACATAAGTTGAATTTTCAAATTATGAAACTTCGAAGTCCAAGCCTATTTACTAAATAATGAAAATATTGGAAAAATTGAGTACATTTTTTCCCCAGGAATGTGACTCAGAAAGTAGATGCTTATTGTATTGGAAAAGAACCTTTACTCCTTTCATTAATTTTCTTGCCATTTATAAGTGAATTATATTTCTTGAACAATTAAATATCATCAATTACTTTTTCTGTACAACATATCTTACAGTAAAGATTGAGTTACAAGGCACATTTTAAAACCTTCTGTAGCTACAAAATGGTTATAGTAGCCAGATTTATTAAAGTAGAATTGCTATTCTGTGAAAATAAAATGGAAAGAGGTAGAAACGTAATCGGTTCTTCTTTTATAAACATTGGGTTGGAAATGATACTATCTAACAATGATGAAATATAAAGGAGTTATTAGAAAACATGCACTGGATGTAACAGCACAAAAAATAAAATAAAGAAGGCCTCACTATAAATGTCACACTTTATTTTATGTTCTCTAAGAATGGAAAATCAAGGTATAGAAAGGATATCTCAGGCAATACTTGTCACATCCTTGATTTGGGCCATCACTTCTGTTTTTCTTCTGGGTTTGGATGTTGTTTTCTTATCAATAATGGAATTTTAGTTTTTCCCTCAACTTAATATTATACTTACAACCCCTCAGGTCAGTTCTGACTAGTTTACACCATCACATAAACATTTCTCTGCTTCCTAAATCTATTCTTCCAGAGTAACTGCCTCTAGACAAATTCAATCTCTTTGGTTGATAGGTATTTTCAAAATAATTTAGAAGTTCTCCCATAACTCTTGACATGTTTAGGGATCCCCAGTAGTTCTCATCATGTCTTTAGGGAAAGTAGGGTAAATATTTCATAACACAGTCTCATTACTGGTAAGTCTAATTGCTTGGGTAATGACTTTAAACCCTTTCAATTTCCTTCTGAAGGCAGTCTATACTGCAGTAATGCTACTTTTTTTCTATTCCAAAGCTTTTGGTAGTTACAGAAAAATAGCAATGAGTGCTTCTTTAAATAGAAGAGCTGTACTTGTGGGCTTTCAATGCTAATGTTTAGTGACCACTAATTTCATATCTTACCAGGCAAAACTGTATTTTATTCATTACAGAATGGAGCACATGTTGAGACTCATAGATGACTGCATGAAATTTAGGGGCAAACTGACACTTGTCTGAGCTCTGCAGGGTAGAAATTTACATGTATACTTTGAACATTTTTATTTTTACTGTTCAATTTCTTTAATGAATTATGGGATTTCTCCTGGCTTTGTCGTTTGGGACTTCAAGTGCTTATTATCCACAGGGAGTATTCCCAGAGATTACTCAGTACTCAGAGTGATTGAAAAGAGTGGCCTGCACTCTGGTACATATTCATAAAGCACAACCTTAGCTCTCGAAATGTAATGGAAATCATAATACGGCGCTTTCCATCCTGGCATTCTCCTTACACAATGGGATGACAGCACCCAAACTGCAAAAGAGTCTTCTTTAGGGACCTATGTAGGACTTTGGTGCTACCCTTGGGTGTGTCCTAGAGTAATGACCAGAAATAGGGATCTTATTGTGCATGTAAGTAGAGAATTATTTTTACTGGCACAGAAAAATAATTTAAAATCACAATGATCTCATGTACCTTAAAAAAATCACATAATATCTGCAATAGTGAAATCTTTTAAGATATGTATATATATGTACATACATATACATACTTACACATGTATATATATGTGTGTATGTGTGTCCATACAGAAACTTGAATGGGACTTCAAGGTATTCTAGAGGAATATTACATCTTCAGCATCTTTAAGATTCATTTTCCCCAATTTTCTGTCATTTTATTTCTCTTTCAATCTTCTCCAATTGCCCAGTAATTACACTTTTATTTATTTAGCCATCTTTGCTGTCCCCAATTTTCTCCTTCTTAATGCATTCTACACAATTTCTGCGATACAGTTTTTTTACCTTGCAACTGAATTGCTCCAGCTAAAGAGTCCTTTAGTTCTTAAAGTTGAAGTAAGATGAATATCATAACAAAATAGTTTATTTATGGGTCTTTTTTTACTCTTTAATTTTATATGTGTATATAGATAGACAGTCTTTCTATCACGTGCTAAAACTATAAATACCTCACTTTGAAATTTTAAAATTGGAAAACAAATTTTTTACACTACACTCTCTATAAAACCTTATCCTGTTTTGCACATAACAGATCCCTGACAAAGGCATCATAGTGGAATGAGTGGCTAACTTTAGACAGATGTAATATCTCACATGGACTTTGAGAAAGAACTGTTTTTTTACATTTTGATGAAAGGCAAAATCCTATAAATATATGAATAAAGTAGATAAATTAATGTTTCCAAAATGGTTTTCTTCACATCAAAGATTTTTATCAGAAAGGCAGAAAACAAGACAATTCTAATCTATCACTGCTTATCACAAGTCATGAGTAACTGTCCATGTATGGCCTCGTTTTTAGTGTTAATAACAATATTCAAAAGCAAAGGAAAAGTGGTTATAAATAACAATGAGTAATTTAAAAGAGAGTTTTACCAAAGACAGTCAGCTCTGCTGGATCACTGTCTCTCTCTCCCACCATGTTCGTGCCAACACAGGTGTACATCCCTGCATCACTTTTTCTAGTATTGGAGATCATCAGTTTTCCACCACGGATCTGTTAAAATGAAACAAAAATAAAAGGGAAAGAAAAAGAAACAGGAAAAAAAAGTATTAATAAACAATTTTGAATTATTAAGCACATTTTCTTTTCGAAAGAAAATAGCTGAGTATCTATCACACAAATCCTTCCCGTTATTTGGGCATCTCCCTGTGTGCTATTTTTTTCTTGCATTCGCCCTCAATATATGTCTCCATAGTCCCTTCTTAGAGAATTCTTCTTTAAGGCAGACTTCTTTTCTTTTGCCTGCTCCTATGTTGAGTTTTGTGACTTCCCTTCATTAAATCCTAGTTGTTAGTCCTCACACTGAGATTCTGTTGAATGAATTGCTATTGTCCTTTGTCAGCAGGAAGAAAAAAATAGACATCTGTTTTGAATAATGTATTAAAATCTAGCCGACTCAGAAGGATTCAAGAAGTAATTTTTGATTATCTATAAGGGCTGGGCAGTGTTCTGGGTACCTGGGATGCAGTGGTAAACAAAATAGTAAAAATCTTTGCCTTCCTGGAGCTTACATTTCAATAGTTAGTAGTAATCATCTTTGTCTCGTCTTAATTGTAATTAAAAGATAATTTTTAGTAAGGAGGGTGGGTTAGACAAAAAAATTTGTAAAATAATGAGTGTGAGTTGGTACAAATCATTGGCATCTAATAGGTTCTCCTAAAGATTTCTTACATGAGAATTCTTTATTGATGGAATAAACAAATGCAATAATATTAAACTATCTATTTGCCAAAGAGGACATTATTGAAGCAGAGTTAGGTTTTTAGTAAATGCCATCACTCATAGTTTCTTTCCCAGGTTTTTAAATTTTATTCATTTAAATTCAAATAATCTTAACTTTATAATGATTGAGTGTTCCCAAAGAGATACCAGATAAGAACATGCCGGTTTCCTCCATTATATTTTAATTTCATAGGCAAACACAAATCACGTAGGTTGGTTTCCATCAGGGATGTTTCAAACTTTAAATCTTGTCATGTGATAAAAAGGGACTTTTCAACTTTTTTTTTACATTAGAGCAGAAGAACATCAGCCTGTTCTCAATTATATCCAGCAGGCTGGAATAATAGGTTATAAAAATGGCCATGGAGGCCATTTCTCCTCCTTTCAAAGCTGAGGGTGGCAATATGACTTAACAAATGAAACTAAAGCAACATTTCGCCAGAAGAAAGGTACTTATGCTTTGGGTCTTGTCTTTTCTTTCTCCAGTTGGAACCCTGAGGTCATAATGGGAATCAGCCTGAGCTAGCCTGCTAGAAAAGAAAAAGCCATGAGGAAGAAAACTAAGATGCTGAGTAGAGCACCAGCCAATTTCCAGACATGTGGATAAGTTCATCCTAGATTATTTAGTCAGTACACCTTTAAACAGGCTACAGAAGGATGAAAAAGTCTAGCAAAGACCAGCCAAGCTGGCTCAGAGCACAACTATCAACTTTCCCACAGAATCAGAGTCTAAATAAAACGTTTATTATAAGTCATTATATTTAGGGGTGGCTTGTTGCAAAGCAAAATCTAAATGCTACAAACGTGAACTAGAAATCCTTGAACATAGATTTTACTCCATCACCAGAAGCACATTTTCATAAATTTGGTGCTCAAGCACAGACGACTGGGAACCAAACTCTCCTTGGCAATGCAGATATCACTATGTTGACAATCAAGCTGGTGTTGGGGCTCAGAGAAACGATACCCAAAACTATGGTGCTTTGGCATTCTGAGCACTTTGAATTAATGAAAACTGGAAGGCCTTAGAAGCTGCCTCAAAATCAATGTCTCTCTGACATTCCTTTGTTTCTCACCCCCAAAGCACAGAGAGGGACTTTCTCTGAAGTTTCCTTATCTGACTGAGGGAAATTCTTCCAAAAGAAAAACAATTGCCTTAAATCCCCTGTCTGAAATCTCATTAACGAGGAAAGATTAATCACCAAAGAAGAAACTAAAGGTCACTAACATGCTTGCTGGACAGACTTTCCATCTATTCTTCTAAGAGACTTTATCTACATAATAAGACCACCTTTGTTTGCAGTGCCGTTCCGCCCCTCACCTTCCCATAACTTGTCACCACCTCTCCCAGAGCTCGGAGGAACTTTGTTCCTGGCTGTTGTCTGCTCTTTGGTCCCATTCATGTCCCCTGAAAATCATTCACTCTTCTTCTAAACTTGCCAACATTCCCCATTTCCCTCTCCCCTATGAAGAGGGTAATTAAGCTTCAACCATCTGGCTCTTCTTTGAGTTTCATATTTTGCATGACTCCCATGTGCTTGCACATTAATAAATGTGTTTGCTTTTTCTTCCATTAATCTATTGTGAGTTTATTTCTGCAGACTTAAAGACTTGAACTTTCAGAGGATGAAGGGAAAAATTCTCTTTGCCCCTACACCAGAAACATATAAATATATGTTGTCATATCTTACATCGCCTATCTAGTTCTGTTTTATGTTGTAATCACAATACGCACACAAGAAAATTCTTCATTTATAATATACCTATCTTTGAAATAATGGATACAAGATCATATAAACTTTTGATTGAAATAGCACATTTATTCAGTCAAATGAGACATTTTCTTCAATAAAATACATTCGCCCTCAGTTATTGTACTGAATATAAAAATTAAACTACTAAACATCAGAAGGTGGAGGTATTATATATATTATTTCAGCGGCCTGCTTCTTCCTAAGATACTTCACATACCAATGTGTGGATCCTCTGAAAAAATAAAATGATGTCATTCCCCTGTTTCTGGATATTTCATTTCAAATCTTAGTCAACTAATGAACGTGATCACCAATTTTCTTTGAAAACAGACTATTTTTCTACATGATTAACATGCAGAATCGGTCATTTTTTAAATTTTATTTCATATCTATTAAATTTACTATGAAATTAATTCATGCATAAAATTTTCTGTTATAAATATTATCTGATTAGAAAACTGGAAAAAGTGTTTAAGATGTTCATCACTTTAAATTATTTCCTCTGATAATTTTGAAAATAGTGCAAAATTAGATGTAGTTATTATGGCTTATGGATATCATTTACACTTTAACACTGATGTACTTCATGATCAATAGAAGATTTTGGAGACCTTAAAAAAGACCTAAGACATTAATAGTGTACTGCAAAGATAGCATTTCCATATTCAGATTGGTGCAATTATTAATATCTCACATACATTCGATGCATATAATTTTTGTCTGTTTGTAGCCTCATCCCAAAGTTTTTGTTTTTAAGTGTTTTCAATGCAATGTACATTGTAATAGCATTGAGATACAATTTTGTTAACAATAAATTAAAGAATAAAATACATATGTTTTAAGACTTAAGTCTTCAATCTCTCTAGGCTATCATTTTAATTTAACTCACACTTATTCTTTCTTCCTTGTCATCAATTCGAACTTTGTCTTTCTTCCAGTAGATGGTAGGTTCTGGGTGTCCCCGGGGAGGTTGGCACTCCAGGATTGCAGGCTCTCCAGCTGCCACCACAACATCTGTGGGGTTTTGCCGGAAGTCATCTCGTAACACTGAGGAAAAATAATTATAGCAAAAGAAAATTCAATGAAGGTCACTTTAGTTTTTTGTTACTAAAGTTAACTTCAAGTCCTGCTTACTTTGTTCTAACAAAAATTGCCTGGATCTTTACTGAGAACATAGCCATATTCATCTTAAAATATTCTAGGACAACCTAAATGTTCATCAACAGGGAAATGGGAATGTTTGACTAAATGATCGTGTACCTTTGCTCAAAAATCTGATTTAAAAAATAAGTCTAAGGAAAATAAGAAGAGAAATAGTCATCATATAGTTCTGAGATTTAATAAAAAAAGCAAAGTACAGAACTCTTTATGTAGCACAATTATATTTTCTACAAAGAAAATCATATACGCATATGCACGTGGTTTGCGAGCATGCATGCTGTCGGTCTATGAGGGGAAGAGGGGTGGAACTCTTTGAGAAAGTCCTTTCTCATGACATGAACATGGACACGGTCCACATTGTTTTCATTACACTTCAGAAGACAGACTCATTGTTCACCCTTGTAACGCACTAGCACCCACATACACAGGGCTACATTTTCATTCTCTCTGCATCTCCACCTGCCGAGCGACATCTGGGCAGCGTGACATTCAGGGCAGAGATATCTCTAGTAGCAGTTTTGCCAGTCTGAATTTCCCCTCCTTTCATTAAGGAGAACAGCAGGTTGGACCTCCGTAGTAACTACCAAAAATCTGGCATGCCTGGCTCTCCAAATGTCACCTATCTATCTGCCTGTGCTTCTCTGCTGCTGGCAAAATCAAAAGCCTGGAGAAGTGGCACGGTCCTATCAGATTACAGAATGCTGGGTTTTATTTGGTAAATAAGGACCATGGCAACATTCACAAAAGTAGTTGAGATCAGCAAATGTACCATATACCACAGCTGCCTCTGCTTTTCCTAGTTACCTTCACTTTTCTTACTCTTTGACATTCCAACACAGACAAGTTTAGTTCCAAAGTACTCAGGGGCAAAACAAACCTACACACACACACACACACATACACACACACACACACGCACACACACACATCAAGCTGTTTGAAATCAACATTAGGCAGCTTGTGCTAGCCTGTTATGTATATCACGTGCTGCAAATGGGGATTAGGTCAAACCAACTGCCTTCCGTGTCCTGTAATGAGACCCACTTCAGCACTCTGCTCCTTTGTTGTGCCAAGTCTCTAGGTTAATTGTCATTCTCCAAAGAAATAAAAATCCCTGTCTTCCAAATAGCTCCAGGGAGACAACTGGGTGAATTTTAGGGCTTTTTTTTTCTTGTCTCTTGCAACACATCCTTTAACACAGTTTTCCATCTTAATGAAGTCACGGCCCTTTATGAGATTAGAGAACCTTGACTCTTATTGAAGAGTGGTAGGAAAGAATTCAGCACAAATTGTTCACTCTCAGTTTATAAGCTGATTAATTTAGTGTTTTCACTGCTAAGGAAATGTGTTCCATTTTCGCACTGTGAACTGCACATTTTTGGTCTCCTTGTCTAACTGGCAAGAACGGTGTGATTTATATGCATAAGGATTTGCTTCTGAGTGAGCTGAAGGAAGTGTGCAGTTAAGTGTGACATTCACGCAAGTGATGAGAAGGAGTTAACACTGTGGTTCCCTCTTGCAGGTAAAACCTCCAGGGAGAGCAAGCTGGTGACTCATTTATATTCTAAATACAGAACAGCTGCTTATTTATGCAATGTTAAGAAGTGCAAAAATATGGTAACAGGGTGATGAGCACCCCTACAATATCCGGTATTGGCAACAAATGGTGTTTTGGCAGGCCCTCAATCTGTTCCAAAATGGCACATCTGGCCAGTTGAAGGACCTTCTCCAGAACTGGTCTCCCAACAAATGACATGTCAAAAAGACTCAGCACAAATGGTACTTAAGACCATTGCAAATCACTCAGAAACACAATGTTACACCAATTTGCAACAATCCAATTTTTTTTTTCTTAAAGGCCCTTTGACATGAGGGACAAAAAGGAGAAAAATATCATAACAAACTATAAAGACTGCTACTCTTAAACAATAAAACATGTGTTTATGGCATTCACACAAAAAAAGAAAATGACTCCAATTTGCAAATGAAGCCAAGAAATTTAACATCAACTGTAATTTTAGGCTTTCAGACTATTCACCCAGAGAGTAGGGTGAGATAATGGTATAATTGGTACTGTATCCTCTTCAACTTGTAATATGCTCTTTGGGGTTTGTATAGTACTCAGTTAATCCATTTGTGATTAGTGATACCACTTCTTTTACCCTAAGTCTTCAGGGTAATAAAATGTTTTTTCTCTCATTCTCAAATAAAATTTTCAAGAGAAAGAGATGTTTTTCAGAAGATTCTAGCACAGAAAACATAGAACTTATTTTTTAGGAAAAAGAGTAAAGTCATTTTTATTCTTTTCAAATTTTAAAGGAGGATATATATGTTCTAATATATGTTTATGTTCCTGAGGTCTGTATATCCATTCGTAAATGTAGGCAAAATAAAATGAAATCATATTTATCAGGTCCCATTTCTGTGCTAAGTATTCATTTCTGTCTTGGATTGTACCCTGTGCTTTGTCGCAGCTGATAAGGAATAGGAAGTGTTAGTCAACGTGAAGGATCCATATGAGTTCAAGGGAGAGAACTAAGACGGTCTTGCAAATGCAGAAAAGCAAAGCAAATTCCAATTCTAAAATGAGTCCATGTTTGTGTGTATATATATATTTCCCCTGTGTGTATATATATATTTCCCCTTATTCCCCTATACTAAAGAGAGCTGAGAACTATATTTTAAAACGTGGCTTGACAAGTAAGCCAAAGCAAGAACATACAACCATATGTGTGTTACCTAATTCCCCCAAACAGTCTTTAAATATGATGAAGAAAAATAAACCTGAAGAACTGAAAAGAATACAGTTAAAATGGCAAAAACTGAGTGGGTAGCAGTAAGTTATACTTTAAAGAAAAAAGATGTACTGTTTTCCTTCATGGCTGTATTAATTTACATTTCCACTAAGGCATGAGGGCTCTCTTTACTCCACACCCACCCAATACTTGTTATCTTTTATTTTTTGATAGTAGCCCCTCTAACAGGTGTCCATTGTATCCCATAAATATATAATATTATAATTATCTGTCAATTAAAAATTAAATATAAAAAATAAATTAAAAAATCAAGGTTATAAAGATGCACTTTGATATAGTACTAGTTTGCAGATCTAAGTTTAGAAAACAAAGTTTCAAACATCTAGGGGGAAAAGGATATATCTAAATGGCTAGAACCCAGGTATTCATTTCTATATATGAAGATGGAAAACACAAATGAGAGTTCACTCAGCTAGTCGTAATACAATCTGGTTTATATTTTCATATTTTTTTTTACATTGACACACACCATGATTTATGAAGTTATTCTGGAAGATCAGACCATTCTGAATTTACTAGGGTGTTTGATGCAATATGGTTGCATGTGACATAGAGATTGCTGACAATTGATTCGATACTGCAAGTTCATATTAAACACTGCAATGTGCTCAGCACCGTCCTGTGAACTGGCTATGGCGTGACGCTGCCTGTGGTAGGCCCTTGCCTATGATCGCCACTGGTCACTGGCTCCGGCTACTTACGCCCTTGTGCGAGCCCCTCCCCCTGAGTGTGACCTGGACCTAGTGACTTGCCTTTAATGAACAGAGTATTACAAAGTCATAGGATGTCACCTCTGAGATTAGGTTATAAAAGACAGTGACTTTCATGTTTTTGGCTTGCTGTCTCTGCCTCTACTTGGGGCTCAGAAAAAGATACATCAAAATATGCCACTTTGGACTTCAAACTGAGAGCACCTGGGAGCAGCAAATGCAGAGAAGGGCTTTCTCTGAAGTTCCCCTATATACCTAAAGGTCCAGTGTTCCAGAAGATGTTCAGTTGTTGTGAATTCCTTGTCCAGATATCTCACTGACCAAGGGAAATTGGTGCGGTACTGGAGTTGACACCACACCCAGAGCCCAGAGGAACTGTTCTTCAGGACCATTGATCTTCTCTGAAAATCATTTACTCTTCCTCTACAATTTCCTTCATCCCCCACTTCCAACTCCCCTACGAAAAGGATATTTAAGCTTCAATCATCTGGCCCTTTCTGAGTCTCATATTTTGTGTGGCTCTGGTGCATATGTGCATGTCTTAAATATGCATGCTTTTCTCCTATTAATCTGCCTACTGTTGGTTTATTGCAGCAGACTCAGTTATCAAAACTTCAGAAGGAAAGTTTGGACTTCTCTACACTCACTCTCTTCCCGTGCACTTCCTCTGCTCATGCAGATTGCCTTGTTGCCTGTAGACAGGCCCACTTGGCAAGGATATGCGGGCAGCTTCAGTCAACAGCCAGCAAGAAACTGAGGCCCTCAGTCCAACAACCCTTGAGGACCCAAGTCACCACTAAATTTTGTGGTCATTTGTTATGAAGCATTAGGTAACTTATATAGTACCCTAAAAAAAGCTTTACATCCATTTGTGATTTTTAGAGCTTAAATATTTGACTTCTGGTTCCTCACAACCCCACATTCTTTCCCTCCCTGAGTCCTCCCTCTCTATTGCATCCTCAATCAGTAGTTCTCAGGCCTTTTTACTTTTAACCTCTGTCTAGGCAAATTACTACTCAGACATTCCCATCTTAGTTTATTAAAACAAATTAGCAATGACGATGAGGTGAGACTGCATAATTAATGGACTTCTGAAAGATACATTGCTAAACCACACCGTGCACAGGCTTTCCAAGTAAAGTTATTAGAAAAGGAAAACCTAAAAATATTATTGGTAAAAAAAAAAAATCTGTAGACATCATTGGATGAAAACCACCCACAACAAACTAAATCGGTTATGAGAAAGGTAGTGAAGGAATTGTGAGAGAGAGAAGCAGTGGAAGCCATAGGCAATCAAACAACACTGAACACAAGGCTCCCTTGCAGAGAGGTTTGTCTCAGTCTGTGCATGCGACTGATG